TCTCTGTTGGCAATTACTTCATTTTCTTTGATACAATTCAGAGTGGCCCAGTCCACCTACATACCAAAAAAGTCTCCAGATGCCCTAGATATTCTGGCCTAGGAAACTGCAAAACACTCCTACTGTTAGCTTAGATGAGACTAAATTCATTTTCTTTTTTCCCAAAAGAAAAAGAAAACAATCCACAAGCATAGCAACTGACATGCTGATAAAACACTGATGTCTTACCTTAGTTTATCCTGGGTACAGACTGACATCAATGATCCATCACTTACAAGTCCCATTTTTCCAGATTTCACCTCAGGACTGGCCTTGGCTTGCATTTGAGTATTCCCTCAGTTTGAGCAGTGATGATTCTAAACTGCAGCACTACCAGGGCTGATAGGATGGAGGCATCACAAAACCTGCTTCTTCGGCTGTTTAGAGACTCTTCTCAGACCCAGTCATCCACTTGGAGAGAGAGGCTGAGTCTGCTGACCTGACTAGCTGGTCCCTGGACACTACCCAGGTTAATGGTGGCTTGAGAATGCCTCTCACTTTCTGCATCACTAAGTACTAAAAATGGCTAGTAGAAAGGACACTGAGCAGTGCTGCTGAAAGGGCTGTAGGTAAAGAAGGTTTCTGATCAGTGACTTTTCACCTACAATTGAAAGACCTAGAAATTTCACCAGATTGTAGAAGAATCTGGTCTAAAAATTAGTGCTTCTTCTGTAGTAGAAGATTGTAATATGGGCATGGTGGCACACACCTATAATCCCAGCACTCAGAAGGCTGAGACAGGAGGATGACCACTAGTTCAAGGCCAGCCTGGGCTACATAGTGAGTTCAAAGTCAGCCTGAACTACATAGTGAGACTGTGTCTCAAAAAAAAAAGATTGGTTAAATGGATTATGGAATTATGGAATACCCCTACAACAAAATGTTAGAAAAACATTTAGCATAGAAGAAAATTGACATGGAAATTGTCCACAGTGTGCCATTAGATGAAAAGACAGGTTATAAAATGGGATATAGAATATGATCTCACTTTAATTAATTATATAAAATAACTAACATTTAACTTTTAATATGAGCATATTTTATATGAGCAAAGCATTGAGTAAAGTGCTTTGCATGAATTATTTTATGTAAATGGCAATCCTGTAATGTGAATATATATTCATCATCTTGCAGATGAGGAAACTAACACTAAGAGGTTAAGTCATTTGCCACAGTTCACTTAAATGACAGAACTGAGATACAGACCCAGGTATGTTAGATTCAAGAACTCAAACTCTTTAATAGTGGCACCATTATCTATGCCTACATTTGTAGAGAAAAAAGTCAAGAAAGATGGATAGCAAGATGTTACTGGTTCTTGTTATTATTTTTTCTGTGAAGTGAGATTGTGTGACTTTTGCTCCCTTTATACTTTCTCTAGAACTCTAAAAATTATGTGATTTACATGGATTAATTTCATAATCAGGAAAAAAAGATCAATTTCCATTCTGAAAAAAGCCAACAAGCTATTATCTGCAACCTGTACACAGCAAGCTACTGAGGAATAACTTAATTATTACAAGGACTCTTGAATTCTCTACCAAACCCAGTTGTATAGAATGAATAAATAATATGCTTGTACATATTTTCATGCTTGTACATATTTTTATGCTTGTACATATTTCTTTTCAAACATATGCAAATACTATCTTTATGTTTGTGCATAGTGGCTTTAGTTTGTCATATATTTCTCAATTGATATAAAAAATACAACTGCTATCATGTAGAGGTCCATGTCATTTTTATATATATATATAGAGAGAGAGAGAGAGAGAGAGAGAGAGATCAACTTTCTGTACCTTGAGTATCTTCTGTACAATTTACATCTTTTTTTTCAGGGAGGCAAGAGGAAATAGAGGGGGAAACTGAGAATTCATAAATTATTAAAAGTTAACCTGGGAGGCTTGCTTCCTGGAGAAGATAGTTTATAAGGATGAGAGAATGTGGAGATGGAGTTGGCCTAGGATATTCTCTTCTGGAAAGACAAAGTGCTAATCTCCCCTGTATTGCCTGCGACAAGGCCCCATCCTTACCCACAGGGTAATGTCAACACACCAGCAGGTCAGTGGGGCTGCAATGCCTGAGTACTAACACTTGCTGTAAGGCCAGGCTGGTTTCCAGTCACCAGGAAGACTTGGGTTAGGAGGGCGCTCAGAACAGTAAGGGAAGCAAAGTGTGTGAGACTTTCTGTTTTGCCAAACTGCCTTGAAGTTCAGCATCTCCCTTCCTTTCTCTTTCTTCCTTTTCTTTCATAATGTGTCCTTTGTCCTCTACTACTGTATAGCTTATTGTCTCCCACTTGAAGTCCCCAGGAAATACTCTCCATAGAACTCCAGTCATCTCATTACACATTAGAAACCACTGGATCACAGACCTGAAACATAAGACACGTGTTGATTGTTCACTCAACGCTGAGGCCCTACAGCTTTTCAGGCATGAAGAACAGTTACACCGACAAAGAAAATACAGTCTCAATCCCTTTTGATGCATACAATTTTCAGATGGAAAAAGCAAAAAACATACACACACACACACACACACACACACACACACACACACAACCTGATTTGCTTTAATGGGCATGAAGTTAAAAAAGGTAAGAGACAGATCTGAGAGATGAGCAAGGGCTTTGCCCTTTGCCTCCCCCTCCCACTTTGGCCTGTATGTGGGACTCACCTAGGACCTAGGCTCCACACCCCATCTCATGGAAGCTGGATCTGAAGCTCAAAACACTGGCCAAGGAAAAAGTCTTTAATAACTCAAGGATAAGTGAGGGAAGAAGAAAGTGAGGTTGCTCTATACTAAAAGCAAATTAGGATCTTGCCAAAGAGATTATATCTGAATCCTATCCAGTCTGTATTCAGCTTCCAATCTGCAGGAAATACAGAAGAACATGCTGACATGCACTGTGACCAGCAATAAGCAAAATTCAGACTGTGGAAATTCAGAAAGGCCAAATGATATGGTTCTTCAATAGCAAAATCTTAAGGAAAGGAAAAGAGGAACCTGTACATTAGAACAGACTTGAATGCTTCAAAACTTTCAAGATCAAGAAAAATAAGGAAATGCTAAGAAACTGTCACAGATTGGAGGAGACTAAGGAGACCTGATGATTAAATGCAACACAGAATCCTGGTAGGATCCTGGAGCAAAAATGAACATGAGTGGAAAAACTGATGCAACCCAAATAAAATCCAGAATTTAGTTAATAGAAACTCACCAATATTGATTTCTTAGTTGTAATAAATATGGCATGGTTACATAAGATGTTAACATAGATGGGAAACTGAGTGAAGGGCATAGGAAACTCTCTGTACTATCTTTGGAATTTATAAATTTAAAATTATTTCAAAATAAAAAGTTAAAAATAGAGAACAACTAAAAGACTACTCATAGGGGAAGTACATTTGGGTTTAAAAAAAATAGAAGCTAGGCATGGTACCACATGCCTGTAATCCCAGGACTCTGGGAGGCTGAGGCAGGAGGATCACAAATTTTAGCCCAGATTGGCCAATTTAGTGAGACCCTGTCTCAGAATAAAAGAGATTTTTAAGAAGGCCCTGGGTTCAATCCCCAATATACAAAAGAAGGAAGAGAGGGAGAAGGCACAAGAGGGAAGAAAAAGGAAGGGAAGGAAAGGGAAGGGAAAGGAAGGGAGAAATGTTAGAATAATGATTACTTTAGAAGGAGAAAGAGGGTTGTGACTGGAATGGGGCACATGGAAAAGGTTCTGGGGTCAGTAGAAAAGTTCTCCTTCAGCTAGTGGTAATTACAAGGTATTTGTCTTATAATTAAGGCATACATTTGCTTTAAGTATATTTAAGTACACTTTCTTAAGTATTTGTATTCTGTTTTACAATGAGAGAGAGAAGGGAGGGAGAGGAAGAGGGCAAGGGAGAGGGAGAGACAGATAAGAAACATAACATCCATCTGGGCAAGATGGTACCGTAATCCCAGCACTCTGAGAGGCTGAGAGCAGGGAAATTACAAGTTCTAGCCCAGCCTGGGTGGCAATATAGCAATTTAGCAAGACTCTGTCTCAAAATAAAATTTTAAAAGAGCTGGAGATTTAGCTCAGTATGAAGGTTTTAAATTCAATATCCTCCCCCCCCGGGGGGGGGGGTGAACCCAAATATAACAAATTGAGCTTGTTGGAATGAATGGGGTATTAGATATTGTTAGGGAATTGTTAGATTTGTTAAGGGTGATAATAGTGAAGTTATTATGGAAGAAAACACAGTAAACACAGTATCTGTATTTTTAGTAGATGCATACTGAATAATTTAGGGATAAGACACGTTTTAGAATTGTTGTCAAATACTCAAAAAGGAGTGGGGAGATAGCTGAAACAATATGGAAAAATGTAAATAGCTTTTTTTTGTTTGGTTGGTTTGGTTTTTTCTCCAGTGCTAGGGACTGAACAATAGTTGTTGAAAATGAAAATTTCATTTTTGAGTTTTTTATATGTTTGGAAATTTTTATAATAAAATGCTACAGGAGTGAAGCAGCCCCAAACCAGGCTGTTTCAGCAGTACAGAGACCCAATCCTAGGCACCCTTCACCCCTAACCCCACAGAACTCCCTTCCCACCAGCCATCTCCCTAAGCTCCCAACCCCTATAACCTCTGTGAGGCCCGTGAGGAGGTTTTCCCTGTTGGTCTCTATGTCACTTGGACTGGATGATAATCACTTTCCCCTTTCTCCATCCTGATGTCCTAATAATCTCAGGAAAGAAAGTCAAAGGCCAGATGGGCTGGGCCAGACCTGATGGCACAGTCTTCACTGCTTTATAGCCCGGCCCTACTGTGGGTGGAATTGGGGGTGGGACAAAGAGGGGAATGGGCAGGTGCCAACTTCTCATAGTCATATGCGTCCACTATTGAGTGAGCTTCCAGAAGCTGGTGACATCTTCCCTGGAACACTGCTCTGAGAACTTTGCCTCCTTCAGGTTCCAGGGCATCATGCCTTATTCTAAGCAGCCTAATAACTTCCAGATTCTGAGCCTTCTGCAATGGCCCTTGAGCTACCTTGCCATATGTGAGTACCAACCCAGGAGTGCACAGTAAGAAGCCAAAGTAAAGGCCAGTGCCAGATCTGGGGTGATGTTGATGATCATGGGATGTCTCATCTCTGGCTTTTTGATTATATGAGATGTACTAGTGTGTAAAGACAAGGAGTTTCAAATATGGTGAGTGAAGAGATTGAATTTGGGGCAGAGTAAGGAAAGAAGTGTGGTAGAACAGGGTCATGGTAGAGACGAGTAGATCCTCACTATCTAGCCAGGGAGTGCTTTCTTATGGGGAGTGAGACAGAGGAATCATTAGTGTTTATAGACTTAGAGAAATCTGGCCTGTGTCTGAACAGTAGAGTTTCTACTCTGGGAGGGAAGTGGTAGTATGGAGGAGGAAAGAGAGGCAATGGAAGGAGCAGTGAATGGACAAGGGGACAAGAATGGTGCATGGGAAACAGTAGAGAGATGAAGTTGTTCGGTGGGCAAGATATACAGAGAAATGGATAGTATAAGTGCAAAGGAAGGTGGGCTAGAGATGATTGATAGGGAGTGAGACAGGAGACAAGGAAAAAAAAGGTGTTGGCCAAATAAGAGAAGGGGGGAAGCAGGTGGCATGCAGAGAGCAGAAGTACCTCTATGGCACCTGGCAGAGAGGCAGGGAGACAGGGTTGACAGGTAAGAGGAGAAATGCAGCTTGCATGTGGTAGATGAGAGAAGACATTTTTGAAGGCTAAGTAGCCATATATGATGGATGGGCAGGATCTGGCTTGTGCTGAAGGCCGGGATAGTATGGAGGGCTAGCTGGTAATGAGACTGGACATGGTCAAGTACTGCTGGAAGTACAAATTTGATCTGACCGCATTCCTCATCAGTTTGGATCTTGCAGCCATTGTTTGTTTATCTGCTGTTTACACCCTTGTGGCCACTACCAGCAATTTACTTTGTCTGGTTGTTCCTGGACTGGAAGACCCCAGAGCAAGGTAAGACTCATGGACCTAGAAAAAGAATGCTCCACCTTAACCTGCAACCCTGCATGATGAATCCCACTCACCAGACCTCAGGTCTCTCCTCCATGTTCTCAGAGCCATAAGAGCTAGTCTGGATGAGACCATCCTGGTACTTCTTCCTTTCTCACCTCATTAGCAGAGTTATGGTCCCAATAAACTGGTAGGGAAGCCCTGCGTGGCACATGCTGACTCACCTCCCTCTGGCATTTTTGTCTCAGGTGGCAGGCGTTCAGCCTGGGTAAGGAACTGGTATGTCTGGACTCACATCAGGGACTATTTCCCCATTATGGTAAGAGGCTTTTCCCTAATGTGTCCCTTCCAGATCCCAAAATGCCGGGCATTTATATAAATAGCTAGGATTGTCCATAAGGAAGATGAAGATCTCGAGATAGTCTCAGCCCAGGCTAGATAATTTTGGGATCCTCTGTACTCTGCTCAGATACTTGGACCCCCTTGGCAGGACCTGCCAGACTGCAGGCAGAGACCAAGCAGGGTTCAGAGCAGTTTAACAACCATGAAGCAAAAGCCTCCTCTGACCTATTTGTTTGGGCTACAGAGAAGTGAATAGGAGGCGTTTCTCTGCCATCAAGGAGCTCACCTCTAATGAGAAGGACAGACAAGTATATAATGAGAATTTGGTATAAGGCAGAGAAGTAGTTCAGATGGTGGATATTAAGGATATAGTGCTATCTAAGCAGAGTTTTCAAGGTTCAATTAGTTAGCTACCAGTATGTGGGTGCTGGAAAGGAGTTTGAAGACAATACCAGGATGAGGTTCTAGAAATATACTGTTCTGCTGAACCCCTGGGCATTTTGGAGTAGACAAAAAATACTGCCTTGATTGTTAGAGCAGAGCTTCCTGGCCTTTGTCACATAACAGAGCTAAAACAAAAAATGGTTATGTGCATAAAGCATACTGACATAAATGGCCAAGCCTACTTGAAGCCAAAGGCAAGTGGCCAGACAGTTGTGCCTTGCCTAGGTCCTGCTTTTTTATCCCAGAGCTAAGGAGACCTATCTCTTGGCCTCCTGAAACCTGGGCCTACCCTGTTTATTGGAAAGCTCTCTTTCAGAAAGCAACCCCAATTCCTGAAGGATCTTCACGTAGCTCATTTTGTCCCCTCTGGCCTTTCTATCCATGACTGTAGATCCTGAAGACTGAAGACTTGTCACCTGAGCGCAACTATGTCATGGGAGTTCACCCGCATGGCCTCCTAACCTTTGGTGCCTTCTGCAACTTCTGCACTGAGGCCACGGGCTTCTCAAAGACTTTCCCAGGCATCACTCCTCACTTGGCCACTCTGTCCTGGTTCTTCAAGATCCCCCTTATTAGGGACTACCTCATGGCCAAAGGTGTGTCTGACCATACTGGAGCTTCTGGTCCATTTCTCTCCTTGAAAATGTACCTTTTTAGGACCCCCATGATCACAGCATAGTGGTTCAAAGTATGTGCACTGGAGGCGATACTCTTAAGTGAAACAAACAGGACACACATGTGTAAATACCGAATAGTTTCTCTAGTGTGAGAAACTGAAAGTGTAAATAAGGACTCAAAGGTATAATAGATAATGTGAAATCGGAAGAAAAGGGGCAAAGGGGAGGGGGAAGTGGGAGGGGTAGGGGAAAGGAAAGAAGGGAATGGGATTAATATGAGAAAATGAAAAAAATGGGAACAAAGTCTTTGTAAATAGCGAGGGATGGAGGGGTTGAAGGGAGGGCAGGGGAAGGGGGGAGAAAAATAAGAACCAAGAGAGTATGTAAAGGTGCAAATTTCCAATGATGAATGTCATTATATTGTACATCGAAAATGTACCAATAAAAGGATATACAAAAAAAAACAAAAAAAAACAAAGTATGTGCACTGGAACTAAACTGCCTGGGCTTGAGCATTGGCTCTTGCCACTTGCTGTGTGATTTTTGGGCAAATTAGCTAACCTCTATGGGCCTGAGTTTCCTCATTTAGAAAGTGGTGCTGATGACAATAATCTGACCTCAGATGTGGCATAATGAGATAATGTAAGCAAAGCATTGGACATTAACACCTGGCACAGGGCATGTGCTCAATAAACAGTAGCTGTTGTTACTAATGGAAAAAGAAAGTAGAATTCTAGTCAAAATATGGAAAGTCCATCTGGTTATCCCACTGAAAACCTTCCTGCTGTAATTTCCATTTCAGTGCCTTCTCCAAAGTGTAGGTATTGTCTCAAAATGAAGCATATTCTGTTTTTCCACAGCCTTCTCTTCACATTCTTTAGTCCCATCTAGTTGAGCCTCTTCTCCTAGGACCCACGGATACAAAGAAGCCAGTGTGTTCCCTCTCTGCTATTTTCCCTTCTGATAAGTTTGTTCCTCTTTCTTCTCCTCAATTCTCTGCAGGTGTGTGTTCTGTGAGCCAGCCAGCCATTGACTACCTGCTGAGCCACGGCACTGGCAATCTCGTGGGCATTGTCGTGGGAGGAGTGGGAGAGGCCCTGCAGAGCGTACCCTATACCACCACTCTCATCCTCCAGAAGCGAAAGGGCTTTGTGCGCACTGCCCTCCAGCATGGGTAGGTATCCCCCAAAGGAGGAGTGGGTGACCCTCTCAGAGTAGCATGACCCTGTAGGTGATGTCAAGATAAGTCCCACACAAGTCTTTCCTCAAGGAACTTTCTAATGAGTAGAAGAGATGAGCAAGAATTTCAAAATTGTTTATGTCGTCACTACTTCTGAGTTTCCAGGAAGCCAAACCATAACCCCAAGCAGCTGGGCTAAGGCTACCTTAGCAGATCATGACTGATAGAGATAATCTACATCTGTCTCTTAATGATAAGTTCAAGAGGCACTATAGTATGCTGTACTGAGTTTGTGTGGGAGCAGAAGTAGGGGCCTGATTTAAAAGCCTGGCTCCATTGGGCTGGGGATTTAGCTCAGTGGTTTCGCCGCCTGCTGTGCAAGCACAAGGACCCGAGTTTGATCCCCGGTACCAAAAACTAAATAAAAAATAAAAGTAAAA